GGTTTTCAGTGAGACATCAAGGGAAATTTTCTGAATTTGATTGAGCACGACGGATCTGAATTATTCTCGCATCAGAAATTGACTTACCAACTCGTCTGACAAATTTGCTTAGACGAGAAATAAGAATGTTGCTGGCACATTTTCAAAAGTTATTCTTGATTCTGCACTATTTTGTGAAATTTGTTCATGTGTTTCTATATGTTTAGCACGTCAACTGCGCTGTAGAATAACCATGAATTTATGATAGAATGAGACCATTGAATACAGAGCCTCTTGAAATTTTTGAATTGCCGTGCAGTTCACAAAGATAAACACACTAGATGGTGTATGTTTTGCTGAAAGTATTGGAATTCTGTTTGCAGATAATGATCAGATGATAAGAACTAGGGGCAAGACGAAAGCAGAACTAATTTTAGGCTTGAAAAGTCGCAATTCATGTCAAAACAGACATCACACCAGGTGCAAAACATTTCCAAAATCAATTCAAGCTGAAAATCCTACAAGTGGAAATAAGGGCTCAAAAGAAACAGCTGATGCAAAACTTGATCCCCGGGCAAGAGGAAGGCTAGTGAAAACTGATCAAAGTGAAAAGATACATCTTCATAAAGGAGATCAAGATTCTGTTTGTTCAAAGTAATGCACTGAGCAGTCCATATTGGCTGAGTTAGTCAACTTTTCAAATAGGATTGTTCTAGCCTGCATACTAATTGTGAAAGTTTCTGAATGCAATTGGTCGTGCTTGACCAAGTTATAACTGAACTAGAAACTTTTCAAAGAGCAACCTTAATGAGGTGATTTCTTTTTACGACAAGGCTCATCCTCTTTGCAGAAAACTCTGCATCTTCAGACTGTTGACGTGTTACACCATTATCTAGCTACAAGTGCTTAATTTCAGTTTGAAAGTGTCATTGACGAGTAAGCAATATTTTCCCTGTGAAAAGTTATGTTTTATCTGTTTTGACCTTTAGCATCAATGAATAGCCAAACTTCTTGCTGTCATGGCTCCTTTATCAGTTGAAATTGTTGGTTAGTCCTCATTAATTGGAACTTAAACTTATTTGGTAGACTTTACCTTTTTGAGTCTTGTGCTTAATATTATGTTTGTTGTACCTTTTTTAGACCAGATATTCAATGCCGGTTTGGACTTTTTCCCCATATCATAATGCCTTTTGCACCATAAACACAAGCATAATTGAATTATGTTTAAGGCAGGATACAACTACTTACTGAGTTCTTGCACTTGAGAACTTAGGAGTCGTTTGGTTGGGAAACAAGTCATCCTAGGATTAATTATTCCGGGATTAGTTATCTCGGGATTGTTATCTCTACCCTCCCACTGGGCTAAAAATAACACTACAATCCTTGGATAACTAGTCCCGGAATTAATTATATCGGGATTTTATCCCAACCAAACGTGGGATAAACTCATCTCAAATTTTATCTCGGGATTAATCCTCGTACAGAGCGGGTCTTTAATGTTCATTTCCTGCAAACAGTAATTCATTTTGCTTTCCATATAACAACACATCATTGAAATTCCGCTATGGGAGCTTGCTTACATTGCCGGTCCCGAGCCCGGATAAAGAAAGAGTTGTAGGTTAACAATTATTATAAAACTTATCATTTCATGATGAATTTGCATAGATCCAAACACAGTATTTATGATATTGAGAATTCATATAGCGAATTGGGATTGAGGCATAGTTGTATAACAAAGCATCATTGAGTAGGGACTGTCAAGTCAAGAATACTAAAACTTGGAAAGCTACATTATTAGAAGCTCCAATAACGAAGAGGTACATTGTTAAAAGCTCCTCCCGGCCATGACAATTGACAAAATTAGAAAGAACACACACACAAAACAAAATACTGCACTGTAACAATAAAACTCAAGCCCTAGTGATGCGTTTTAGAGTAAAACATGCCTTAGTCTCTAGTGACGTGTTTTAAAGTCGTGGGGTCATAAACCCAAAGTGGACAATATAACTAGTGGGCTGAGCTGTTACATGTAACTCACTATCATGAATTGTTATGCATGTTCTAAGTTCTAACAATCATCTTATATTTCAAATTACAAAGACAAGATGCATTAAAGGATGCTTATTGTTCGCTCAAAGCTTAAAAGAACATGAGATTCAATCTATGAGTTCAATATGTAGTAGACGACTATACAATGGTGTATGTAGGATTTTGCATAAGCATTATCGGCTATTCAACTTAATTATAAGTGTGTTTTGCACTAGATTTGTGGTGATTTCAAGGCTTTATTTCCTGTCCTAAATTGATAATTTACTTTGTATTATTATCAAGCGTTGAAGGTCTATTTTATATATGAGGGTTTGCCGGGTTTTCTTCTTTAATTTGTGTGTAGCTTCTTTTCCAGTGATGGGCGTCCTCGATGCTCTGGAGACCTTGGGCGGCAGAGAAACTCAGCCGAAACCCTAATTTTAGTTACACAATGGCTAGCAGGGATGTCGACGGTCTCCTACTTGCTAGCTTTAGGGCGCTTCTATATGAGTAGATAGACTACGTTTTGTTTTCAGAAACTATATTTTGGTGTTTTCTCTCAATGAAATTTGAAAAAGGTAAAGGGTAGGGAACCTTTTTTTTTTGTTTCCCATCATCTGGTGTTCAATATCTGCATTGAAGTCCAACCAAATTCGAATTCGTGCTAAGAAGTCTCACAATCAGAGACGGATGCACATATATCGAAACGGTGTCACGCAACACCGCTTCGTCAAATTTTTTATTAAATATATGTATTAATACTGTGAGCAAACAGATAAGTAGGAAAAAAGGACACAACCTGACATAAATTGTCTCTTGGCGCATTGGTTATGTGCTTGATTTTGCTCTAAGATAAAAGTTGTGATGAAGTAGAATTTAATTCAGGATTTTTTCTAACTCAACAAAACCAATAGACTAAAGCTATTTCTTGTCTAGAAGTATGATAATTAAAGTTATTATTATATTTCTTCTATAAATTTCGATACCGCTTACAAAAATTCTTGCGTACGCCCCTGCCCACAATACTCCTTAACAAATGTGATTTCATACTTAGGGTTCGAACTCGAAACATCTAGTTAAGGATGGATGAATACTATATCACTCTAACACGTTTTATTATGGGGTAGTGACAGTTAAAGAGCACAAACATATAGATTGACAAAATAATCTCCTTTCTGTCAAAACTTTTAACGGATAATTCAAAACGACGAAAGAAAAAGCAAAACAAAAGAGTATGCCACCTCTGTTAATTGAGGCGTTCACTGTCCTCAAAAGTCAAAATTGCCCGGTCAAATAAAGAAGAAATAAACGAAAAATTATGCTACCTACTTTGCTGAAAGTTTATGCCACGTCTGACACTGACAAAAACTACTTACTAAGGCTTATTTTGACCAGGGAACAAATTATCTCAAAAATAATTAGATGAAATTATAATATAGAGATTAAATAATAACCGATATATTATGTCTTTCGTTTCAATTTGTGCAATACCTTTTTTTTTTTTTTTTTTTTTTTTTTTTTTTTTTTGCCAATCCCAAAAAGAATGATATCTTAATGTATTTAGTAATAATTAAACTTGAAAATGTTCATTTTTTACTTTAATGAGATAATTTATAGCACACGAATATTCTTGGTTTATTTTAGACTATAAGTTTCAATTTTTTTTTCTTTATTAAACTCCTTGTCAGTCAAACACCGTCACATAAATTGGGACGGAGAAAGTAATTCTATAGTAAATGTTCACTGACTAAAAATTGGTATGTGGAATATAATATAAAACATGCATTTGATTTAAATTAGATAAGTAGGAATAAACTTTTATTTTAATTTTAACTTTATCATTCTTAAAAACCTTGGAGATGAAAAGTATTATTTTATTATTTTATCCCAAAATTATTATCTTACATAGAATACATTATCAAAATAATACCATAATTGTGACATAAACAACCTCAAAATTATTAATCTCTGAATAACAAATTGTACCAACTACCAAACATAGAATAAGCTAATCCCGCAATATATCTTGGGATTATAATTCCTTATTCCACCAACCAATTGACCCCTACGTCCTTTAGCAACTGTTAAACTGATCTAAAAAGACTAAAATTGCTCTCTAATCTGTTCCATCTTTACTAAGCTCTTGTTTTTAGTATTTTCCAGTATTTTTCTTCAAACTCGAGACCTATTTCAAAATAATGTTGAACTTTTATAACGTCAAAGTAAGTAAGGTTCGTTGATATGTCAATAAAATAAGTCAACAAATGTAACTTATCCTATAACGATCGAACAAGGAATGATGTCATGGAGCCCAGCCAAAAGAAAAATAACTCCTACAGGTACATAATTAAAATTGACAATTGATCGTGCTTTTTGGACTAAGTAAACGTTTGGACATAAAAAATATGAGATTCGAAAAAAGTAGTGAATCCCCTAAAATTATCAAGTAATGACGTACTTAGTGGTGCCAAAATGGTTAAGAAAAAACAGTTATCCACTAAAAAGTGAGTTGGATAATGAACTTTTTAAAAACGGGTCAAATATGAATAAAAATCATATTATTCATTTAGAAAATGGATAACCAATAGATAACTAATGAATTCGGGTCAAATATGGAGGGAGACTAGGAATTCTCCCAAAAGTGATCAAATTCAAGGAGTCATAGATAATATGGATATCCATATTATCCGCCGGTTAACCTCTTTTTTATCCGTATTAAATATGGGTCGAGTCGGATAATTTATCCGTTTTGCATTATCCGTTTTCGACCCGACCCATATCAGACCCGCCCGTTTGCCACCACTTGACGTGGTGGAGACTTTCTCTAGCAATGTTTTTATAACTGTTTCTTTCCTTTTAATTTGACTTTATCTTTGTGAGCTTGCTCACATGTTGATAGCCAAAATAAAACTAAACAACTCAGGAATCTTAACAGTACATATATTATTTTTGTTCTATCTCATTTTCACTGAGAATTGCACTTCTTCAAAAATTTCAGAAATCATGCCTTGAGCATCATATATATATATTGAACAAGAATTATAGTTTCAGTACAAGCATTTGAAAAGTACAGTACAAACTTGCGATATTCTTTATTTAAAGTTCTTTCCATTACATATTTGGAAAGAGCACACACTCAAAACACTATGATGGTAAAAACTCAAGTATTTCAAACCAAAAAAACTCTAAAATGAGTTTCATAAAACTCCATAATCATAAGCTGATATCTCATAGAATTAGCCGAGCTGGACGCAAACTGACTCAGACACCATTTAGGCATAGACGGTAGAATTGGCAAGAAGGTAGTCTTCAACAACCTTGAAAAGTTCCATGGCTTTCTCTTTGCCTTCATTATGTTCTTCTTCCTTAAAAACATAATCACCTTTTGTGTGGTACTCAGTTGATGTCTTGCAAATACAACCTCCTTTTGCAGAGGTTTCGAATTTAACATCATAGGTAATGGATTCCAATTTGTCTCCTAGAACATCTCCTTCGATTAGTGAGTATTTGGTTACCAAGTTCTTGTCGTCAATCACATGAAGCTTGTGCTTCAAATACTTTATTGGACCACCTGTCATTTTACAAAATAAAGCAGACTTATTTTCTTGACAAATCTAAGAACAAGTTTTTGCAAATAATAATAATAATAATAAATTGTTTAATTATACGTTGTTCTTTGATATTTTCTGCTGTCTTTTAAAGAGGATTTAAGTTATACAAACTGATAGCATACGAATTTTTTATATTATTGTGTAATTTAATATATATTATAATTTAATAATCTAATTGTGTAAATATGTGTTAGTGCTTATTCCAAAAAAAAGTTTCGACCAAGTAAAATTTTCTAAAAGAGAGAGAGAACTTCCCAAAAGAACTTAACCAAACAAGTCAAACTAGTGTGAATTTCCTATCATTCGCCATTCAAAAATATAGATAATGCGAATTTTTGTCGGAAAAAATCTTTTTAGCTCTCGTCCTTCTTCTTCTTCTTCTTCTTTTTTCTTTTTAATGTTTAACAATTTAACTTCCTTTATTTAGTTAACAATTTATCTATTTAATTATTGGAATAAGGCAACTATTCTAATTTACAATTGTCCTTTACTTGTAGAACCATGTTAGACGTAAAAATGCACCAACACTCACACCCCTTGAGTGTTGCAGCGAAATGATGTGATAGAACTTATATTATAACATAGTATTAAAATTGATTCCATAAAAAAGTTAATTTTTATAGTGAATGGTTGCTATATAACGATAATGTTATAGAGAAGTCTGACTATATATATATATATATATATATATATATAAAACTCACCTTCCACAAAGTTCATCTTCTTGATGCTTCCAACACCACCATCACCTTCGACAGTCTCAATGTTCTTAACAACTTGTGGCATCAATTTTGGAATAAGGTTATCTGCATCAAGAACCAAAGCTTTGAATAATCTAGTTGGGGCAACTGTGGTTGATGCCTCATGAGTATAGGTTGTGACACCCATAATGTTAATTAATTTGCACTGAAAAGTGAAAGCAAAAACAAAGAGGATAATTAAGATGAATTTGGAATAAGAAGTGAATAGAATGGTTTTTGATGTGTGGAATTTAATGAAGTTCTAGATGGTATTTATAGGAGAGAAAAAAAAGAAGAGTGATCGAGTGTTTGGACTATTAGTCAATCAGCAACCTTAGCTTTATCTTAATTTCAACATTCAAATCAGTCCATTCTTGACATTTGTATCCATTTTTCTAGATGTTATTTTCCTATGTCCTCTTTAAAATTAATGTGTTAGTTGTACCGTAGGAGAACTTCATGACAAATGGCCTAACAATGAGGCTTTTGCTGATACATTAATTAAATTTGATTTTTATTGCTGTGAGCGCATAAGGGGAAGCACTCCTTGCTATAATGAGTTTGTCCTTACTTCATGACATATGGCCTAACAATGAGGCTTTTGCTGACACATTAAAGCATCTTTTTATTTAATCATCTAATATATATACATTCAAAATTTACTTACTCTGATTAAAATTTTCTGAACCGATTAATTTAAATTTTTGTTTAAGTGCGTCCATAAGAGGGAAACACTCCTTGCTATAAGGAGATTGTTCGTTCCTATAATTTAAACCTAAAACCTAAAACCTCTATTAAGAGCAGAGGAAATCCATTCAACGCACCTTGTGGTGACACATTTTATGACGTTGCTGCAAGCTTCCTTATTCAAGTTATATCGCACGCAGAGTACATAAAATTACCGTCAAAGTCACGTAGATTTACTTTTTTATATTTTGATTTTCTTTAATGGAAATTTCCGTCATTGCTAATGACGTAGCCATATAGCGTGAAGGGTGTTCAACACCGAAAAATTATACTATGCACTATATAAAAAATTATTATGTGTATATATATAAAAATTATTATTTTTATATATTTATTAAAGTTTGAACATCCTCGTAAAAGTCCTGACTTCACCATTGCCACCACCACTGTCGATTATGTGTGTTTTCCTTTCAATTGTAATTCTTAAAGTTAAATTATTATCTTGTTAGTGTAAACACGAGTGCCAGTAAACACNTTGGATTTGAGAAAATGATTTGAAATGAGTAATAAATACTGTAGGTATAACAGGAAAAAAAAATTGTCTTCTCTTGATATGCGTAAAGTGACAAATAAAAATAAAAATTTATTTTTAGTATATCTGCCAAGTAAAAGTGAACGGAGGGAGTATATAAGTTAGACCCTTATGGGGCCATATATAGTTTGGCTTTACTTAGTCAAGATTTCATAAGACGGTGTTTGGCTGAGTCAAGATGTCGAAGTCTTGACTACGAGTGCAAGACAAACGTCGTATTTTCTGTAAATCTATTAATGTGTCAACATCTTGACTAAGCCAAACAATGTATGAAATCTTGACTAATTAGCTAAAGCAAATTGGTAATGTGAAAGAATTTTGTATGCATTTATGAGTCATGTCTCACTTTCCCTACTAGTAACATTATTATTACTAAAGATAGATATGGACTCAGGATTTGAGAGTGGAGGGGCCTTGCCTTTTAGCAAAAGCTGGAGTGAAAATCGAACCAAGCAAAACATCAAAAGTAAGTTGTGTCTCCCGAATCTCGACCAATGTAACTGCCTAAACTTTGAATCTTAGAGTGTCAATCAAAACATACATATATTATTTAAGATATATACATATATGCAAATATTTTTTCTGAAGTTACCGGAGTACGGCTACACCTCTACTTTAAGGGTAGGTCCGCCTCTGACTAAAGATCATGTTCGATAACATAGAATATTATTAGAATAAGATAAACTAAGAGCAGGACCATGTTATTTTATGTTGATAAGTTAGAAATTTACGACATTATTTTTTGTTAAAAAGTGTTGCAACTATATATATAAAAGATTATGCCTTGTAACTAGGGATTATAAATTAGTGTTGTATTATCTTAAATGTTACCATTTTCTATCTTATCAATAATTATCATAAATGACGCTCTATTTTACCTAACCAAGCGCAAATTATATTTTCTTTTATTAGGTTCGTTTTGTATATTAGAGATAGAGTGAGTGAAGCGCGCGCGACAGGGATAGATGTGTGAGTGGTGAAAGACTACATACTAGCAATATTGTCCAAAGGAATCTTAATAAATAAGAGATAATTAATTTCATTATCTTTTGGTATAATGCGCCAATGATATCCTATGGTACATTACGCAAAAATCATTAAGGTAGATAAAGGAAATTAATCACACTAAACATATACCTTAACCGTTGAGCTAATTAAGTTAAAATGTAAAACGAGAACTTGGTAGGTTTGAAACAGATAACATACACTCACGTGTCAGCAAGCCTTATTGTTAGACCATTTAGCATAAAGAGAATGTACAGATCAAGAACATCTAGAAAATGGATACAAATGTCTAAAATGGAGTACTTTGAATGTTGAAATTGAGATAAAGGGATTGTTGATTAAAACACTGAACAATCACTCCTTTTCTCCTATAAATACCATCAAAGTTTTCATTATCATACAGCTCAAAACATTCTCAAGCAACTTATAAGTTTTTCCATATATATTCATATCTTTATCCTTTTTTGGTTAATTAAATATCTCTAAGGCAAAAACATTATGGGTGTCACTACCTATAACCAAGAGGTCACAACACTAGTTGCCCCAACTAGGTTATTCAAAGCTTTGGTTCTTGATTCTGAAAACCTTGTCCCAAAATTGATGCCACAAGTTGTTAAGAACATTGAGATTGTAGTGGGTGATGGTGATGCAGGAAGCATCAAGAAGATGAACTTTGTTGAAGGTAATTTTAATATGATCTTATATTTGTCTGCTACAGATTGAACATCATAGATTGATCTTATGTTCTTGATTTTAACTTCTATACACTGATAGAATAATGATAATTGAAGGCACAATCTGAATGTGAACTTTTAAATTATCCAATATAGAGGAGATAATTAATTAAAAGAAATGGCAGAGGTGAGTGCTAAAGAGATTTCTATTTCATAAAAGTGCATCATCCAAGATATTGGAGTTATTTTGTCAAGATCCAAGCCCATGACATGTATTATCCGCTTTAGGTCTAGACCTACGCGAATTTGTCTTTCAGGCTATGGCACATCGAGCCCCAAAAGTACGTGTATCATATGAACTTGTGTCATGCCTTATAAAGCTCTTCATTTTTCTCTCCTATACTAATGTGGATTCGTCTAAGGTGACATGTTGTCACGACCCAAAATCTCACATGTCGTGATGACGCCTATTTCGATACTAGACAAGCCAATAACCTCAATAAATCCCAAATTCTTTTAAGTTTGAAAACATAATAATTAGATTTTTACAGAAAATCCCACAATATCTGGTACAAACTCCCAAAACCCGGTGTCACTGAGTACATGAGTATTTCAATGATAATAAAGTCTGACTGATAAAATACTATCTGAAAGTATAGAACAATACAATAACTGAAAGAATGAGAGTCAAGGTCAGCAGACTCCTATACCAATGTGGATTCGTCTAAGGTGACATGTGTACCATTTTTTCAAAATCTTGCTAGCCTAGAAGCCTATCGCTTGAGCCGCTCTCATTGGTCAGTCATCCATCATCGTGCGTCACATTCAACCACGGCCCCTTGGGACTTAGGATCCTCGTTGAGATTTGCCCCACTATCGTACTGAGGGAGCGTCGGGCTCTAATACTATATTTGTCACGACCCAAGCTCACGACACATACTGTTCGCTTTGGGCCTAGGACCGCACATATTTGTCTTCAAGCTACACCACATCGATCGAGCCTCAAAAGTGCATGTATCATATGAACTTGTATCATGCCTTAAAGTTCTTCACTGTCCTCTTCAATTCCGATGTGGAATTCGCCTAAGGTGAGATGGGCAATCCTTATTTAAAAGTTTGTCAGTCTAAAAGTATATATGTCTGTATCACGGGCGTCATATATTTAATTTAAATGTGGATTTTTAAATTACCAAGGGATCAATAATTGCCTTATTTTGAAAATGGCAGGTTCTCCTATCAAGTACTTGAAGCACAAGATCCATGTTATTGATGACAAGAACTTGGTAACCAAGTATTCACTGATCGAAGGAGATGTTTTAGGTGATAAACTGGAGTTCGTTACCTATGATATCAAATTCGAAGCTTCAGGAAATGGAGGATGTATTTGCAAGACTTCAACTGAGTACCACACTAAGGGTGATTATGTGTTTAAAGAAGAAGAACACTATGAGGGCAAAAAGCAAGCCATGGAACTTTTCAAGACTGTTGAAGATTACCTCCTCGCAAATCCTTCCGTCTATGTTTGAATGATAAAATAGAATCCAGTCCGCACGTGAGAGATGACGACGTGTTGAGATATAATAAAATTAAATAACTATAAATGTGTGCAATTTAAAGTTTAAGCTTTAGATGATCAGTTGTACTCTAAGTGATTATGGAGTTGTATCAAACTCTTCTAAGAGTTCCTAAGGGCTTGAATTTTCATTGTTAAAATGTTTTGTTGAGTGTGTGTTCCTTCCAATTACTATATGTCATTGGAAAGAACTTTCAATAAAGAATATCCCAAAAAATCTACTTATCAATTATCAAATGCTTGTAGCAAACCACTAAAGTCTTGTACTGTTGTACAATATATATATATATATATATATATATATATATATATGCTCGCGCGCGCGTATGTGTGCTTTTGATGTCAGTTTTCCAGGTATAATTATTACAAAATTCTTTCCAGGTATAATTATTACAAAATTTTAGGACGTGCAATTCTCATGACAATTTGCAGTTCTATTTTATATGTCAGTTTATTTTTATTTTTATTTTTTACTTTGTTAAAAAATAATATCAGCTTTCCATATTTGAATCACTTTATTTTTACCTTAATATCATACTTTTATAGCCACAACAATGATTTGACATATTTAATAGCTTAATCGATCTCTTGCCTGGATGGATCCAATGTTGCTGAGGTCTCTAGCAATGTTAGTTGATTGGGTATATATTGTCATGATCTTAATTTACTGAAATCAAATTCATTTTTTTTTTAAATTTACTTTATTTATTTCAACTAATTTGTGATAATTATTCCTTCTTCCAAAGGGAAAAGGTATTCCGGTTTATTTGATTTTTTAAAAAAATATTTTTATTTTGGCTGTTTTCTAATTAGGGCAGGATTAACCAACCCTCTACTTTATCAAATTCCTAATCAAAGTTGGTCTAGGATTTGGTTCTAGTTTATTTATTTATAAAATACTAGGTTGAGACCAATTCCTAGGTTTCCAAATCTCAAGTACTCTTTGAATATGGAGGCTGTTGTTTTATATTACCACAATCCCTCCTCAGATGCAAACCTCACAATTCGACAAATAATATCACCAATCAATACTGATAGTAGTAATATTATTTCTCCTTCTTCTTTACCCCTTTTAAACCTTCACTTTCAACTTCGTACTTATGAAAAAGATTGGTATAGACCAGTACCCCATGATCATCAATATCCTGCACAATTCCAAGGATAAAGAACTCTTATTTAACTTCGCGATCTCGAACTCCCACCTTTTTTTATACATGTCATATGACATGTTCTACCGTGCCATGCAAGGAAATCTCGAGAATTGGGGTGAGGAGTTTGATCGAAATTATCGTGACAAAATCATTTATGATAGTCATAGTACGTAAACTTATTGATGATGAGCCTAATAAGCGTCGCCAAAATATGAAGGTGTTCGTTGGTATAAGTTTAACCGTTAATCATTTTCTTGATAGGAGGATTTCATTAGAAGAAACATTGTCGTCGACAGAGAGAATAATGAAGATTTATGAAGATGAACGTACGAGTGATGACTGTGTGATTTGTCTTGAACAACTTGGGAAGGAGAGGAAGATTTTGTGCATGCCTTGTTCACATATGTTTCATAAAGTTTGCATTACAAAATGGTTCGAGAAGAAACTTCATTGTCCTATTTGCCGTTGTGAGATATCAACCGATGAATTTAGATTTCTAGCTAGCTAGCCTCGTGTTTCTTTTTCTTTATTTTTGTTTTTCAAATTCAAAATATAAAATGATGAAAGAAGTATTAATTGGGGTTTTCTTTTCTTTTTATTTTTCTGAAGATATGTTGGATTGTCTTTATTTGAGACTACACCATGTAAAATAGTTGATGTGATTAAGAAAGCTGAGTTGAATAGAGGCTCCCAAATATATATGAAGGCCTAGTCCCCTTCTCGTATTTGAAGTACAAAAAAAAAAAGGAAGCTGAGTTGAATAGAGAAACACTTTGAAAAAGTTGAGAATTCCAAGCTCATTTGAATTAATTGATTTTTTTTTTACATTTGATATTTTGGTACGAGTTCATTATTTATGTTACCAAATTACAAGCGCTTCTATTTGATGTAAATATCTTATTATGCTAAAATTACACTGGAATTAAGTGTTTTTTTTTTTTGCGAAAAAAGATCAAAATCTACATTTTTACAGCGTAGTAATTTATTTATGAGTTTCTTTTTCTCATAGTTATTAATAGAGTAATAAGAAAGTAATTTGTTTTTGAGTTTTTATCCACAGCTAATAGGGTAAAAAAAATTAAAACTCCTCGTTATCTAAACATTAGCAAATTCCCACCTGCCTCCCATAAATTAATATAACCCTTTGGAAAATATTTGAATTCATATTCATTTTCTCTTTTGTTTAATTCGGTAATTTGTTCTTATAGATATTTGGATCTGGCCATGGCTATAGAGGAGGATTGTGTCACTGAAAAAATTAACCGTCTGATTTTGGCTTTTCTTTTGTTGACATTTGTTTAAGAGTGATGATACACGAATCTCGCTAATTATTCTCATGCTGATTAGTTCCGGTTGATGAGAAAAATAAATGAGGGTGAAGAATTGTCGAGGTTAGATTATTTAATTTGATTTAGTGGAAAAGGTTTTTTTTTTTTTTGGTATAACCAACTGGTAACCGGTAGTCCGCTACTCATTGATCTGTAAGTGGGGAAGGGCAAGGATGATGAGAAACTAAAATGATTTTTGTATAACAAAAGAAAGAAAATGATTTTTGGGTAATAAACACAAAGTTGAATAATTTTTACGTAGCAAAAAAAGTGACTTTTGGATAGTGAATACAAAGTTAGATGATTACCCATAAAAATCTACTCATTTTATTATTTTTCTGTGAATTATGCCCACCCACATTGAGATAGGCAGTAAGATTAGAATATTGAATGTCTTATTCCTTACTCCTCCTACTAACTTATAACTTTGAAAATTGAAATCATTCACTAGGATTTTAACATACAAGGAAAGTTTTCTTTCTAAAGTTAAAATTTAATCCTTCTTTTGTTAGGAACAGAAATTCAGTTATTTTCTCCTAACAGTATGGTCACGATTTCTATAATAAAATCTAAAATTTTTGGGATGAATCTTCCCTAAGCATTTATATTTGGGATGGATCTTCCCTAAGCAATTATATTTGGGATGGATCTTCCCTAAATATTTATATTTGGGATGGATCTTCCCTAAGCAATTATATTTGGGATGGATCTTCCCTAAATATTTATATTTGGGATGGATCTTCCCTAAGCATTTATATTTGGAGATGGATCTTCCCCGGGCATGGAGTTGCCCTAGATATTCATATTTGGGATGGATCTTCCCTGGGCTGGATTTACCCTATACAGTACTGAGTGACTGACTGTCAATTGCTATTTATATTTGAGGGATGAATGTTCCCTAGGCTGGATCTGCCCCACACAATACTGAGAGTGTTGTATCACATACAGCATGTACATTGGCATGTAGATATAGAGATGTCGCAATCCTCATATCATTCAGATTTGGTCTATTTTAATTGTATTGAGATTAACTGTTGAACTTGAAAGAATGCCTACATTTATATATTGTTATTTCTATGATTGGATTGTACATTTTGAGCTCGTCATTACTTTCAGCCCAAAGGTTAGTCTTGTTATTTATTGAGTACATTGGGTCGGTTGTACTCATACTACACTCTGCACTTCGTGTGCAAATCCAGGTGCTTCCGGATACAGCGACTGCTAGATTTTTTAGATTTATCTGTCGGAGACTATCAGAGGTAGCTGCCTTGGCGTCCGCAGACCTTGACTCTCTTTCCTTTCAGTTATTTATACTATTATATATATTTCTAGATAGTATTTTTATCAGCCAGACTATATTGTCATTTAGATGTTCATATACTCAGTGATACCGGATTTTGGGAACGTTGTACTTTATATCAGAATTTGTGGGATTTTTCTCTTAAAAATATTTATTATGTTTTCAAACTTAAAGAATTTCGTGATTTATTTGAGTTGTCGGCTTGCCTAGTATTGAGATAGGCGTCATCACGACATGTGAGTTTTGGGTCGTAACAAAAATACTTCTGCTTCTCCTTAAAAGAACTATTTTTTTCTTCCAAAAGCCTGGCCAAACACTTTAACTTTGAAAAAAAAAGTATTTTTTTTTATAAAATAGTGCTTCTAGGATTAGAGAAGCTTGGCCAAACAGTTAGTTAGTTAGATTTCTTTTATTAATTAGTTAGTTAATTACTCAATTAGGAAATTGAGTAGTTAGGTTTATTGCGCAAAATTAATTATAATTAGAGTAGTTAGTTTGGAAACTAAAATAAGGAAGAAGATGGGTTGCCTGGTCTTTCAACGGAACTTGGCCAAAATAATTTCAAGTGGCCCAATTTTGCTCAAAATCCGCCCAAACCCACTTCCACATCTGATCCAGGCCACATACTCCCTAGAAACATCCCAAACGACAACGTTTAGGGCGTGGTTCATCAAATTTCATCTAACGGTAGAAAACTGGTCTTTGTATTTACATAAAAGTGTCATACCTTACCCCCTTTGAGCACCTAATTTTTGACTATATTTGAATTTCATCACTTTTGTATTTAATATTTTCTAGATTTAATCTTGATATTTTAACTTTTATGTTATTTTTATTAGTATTCTTTATTAGAGATTATGTAATATTTTTAACAAAGTCTATTACATAGAGGACGAAAGAATTTATTTTAATCATGGACCAAATCTAATAATTAGTTCCTACCTTCGCTACATTATTTACTTGTCCCATCACACACCTACTACACTATTTACGTGTCACATCTCACTTCCATTTCATTATTCTCTTGTCTCATCATTCATTTTCAACACTCTTCCTCTCTTCTTTTTTTATTACTTATACACCCACAAACCCCACTAAAAAAGTCAGCAAAAAAAATACTTTCTTCCTCCTCTAAAACACCATTATTTTCAGCCCAAAAAACTCTATTTTTCAGCCATGAAAGTCAGTTTCTAAAGCTCCCTTAATCCATCGAAAATCAGTTGCAACATGTGCAGAAACAGAGCAGCAGTTCGACTGTAAAATCAATCCAAATTTCAGCCCAAAATTATCCCCAAAACAGTCCAAGAACGAGTTGAAAAACAGCCGTCAGACCCAGCGAAAATCAGCTGTAAATTCACCCCAAAAGCA